AGTTAGCCATCAGATCTCAAAAGGGAGGAGACGAATCATCACAAGGAAATTCTCCTTGAGGAAAAGGCAAGAAAATGGGGCATCCCTAATTGGGTAGGAAAATGGGGGCATGTCCACTACAGGGATGGATATTATGAAGTAAGGATGCATCCTGGGAAGAGAATGACATCTCTCTGGCCTTGTAGATTAGATTGTCCCTGCCTTGGAGGATGTCAAATCCTTTCAGGGGAAGTAGAACTTTACATTGGCCTTCAAGTACAAGGGAGAAAGGGCCTCTTCCTGGAGGTAGGGCAGCAGCACTCCTGGGACTTTAAAGAGGAAAAACCAATGCACACATAACCTGAGACACTGTTTGAAGTGATTTTGTGGGGTTGGAGTATTGGGATCAGGTTAAAGGGATAAACATGTGGCTTGTGGATAGAAGCCTCAATGTATGTGGGGGACTAGAGCATTAGCCAAAAGCAGACAGAAGCTGCTCTAGTGGCTGATTGAAAACCAAACATTAAGCCAACAGTGCTCAAATATCTACTCCTAGGTTAATACTCTGCATCACCCTCACCTATTTCTAGAGGCCCCACTCTTCCCATGAATCTAGTGCCTGATGTCTGAAGCCCAGGCCACACCTGTCTGTCCACACTTCAATGGTCAGAACTTGATATAATCTTGTCAGTTTAGTTGACCCAGGACTTGGTAATCTAGGAAAATTTAAAACAACAAAAAATGGTGTTCTGGGCCCATTCTGTACCAGGCACAGAGTATTTATGTGGCCAGCAGGAGTTCAGAGGCCTTACAATGCTGCCCACCCCAGCCTTTAGAACCCTCTATAAAGAGAATAACTCCCACTTACCCTAGGCCTACAGGAACCAGACAATACTCATGAGATTCAAAACAAACCCTTTCTAAACATGGATTTGTCTGAACTTCCTGGACTCTCACTGCTAATACACATGGCCTTGTGTTCACTAGCAGCAGTGTCCTTGTTTTCAATCTTTTGCTGCATGTGTAACAGGGCTTCCATCACAAAAGGATCTCATGGACACTCAAGAAAGTATGCTAAATACATCTTCAGCCCCAGGAGATGGTCTATAGAGTGCTTGTCTACCATAAAAGAGGCCAAGTTTGATCCCTGCATAAACAAGGTATGATGACAAATACCTGTTATTCCAGGACTTAGGACCCAAGTTTGATCCCTAGTACTGCATAAACAAGGTATGATGACAAATACCTGTTATTCCAGGACTTAGGAGGTAGAAGCAAGGAGATTGGATGTTCAAGACCATTTTCAGCTATATAATAAGTTTTAAATGAGCCTGAGATGCATAAAAACATGCCTTATCCCCCCCAACACACACAAGCATCTTCTTAGTTCATTTTTGCAAGAGGCTTTGGGGGGGAGTAGACCCTGAATCTGTCTACAACTCTACTTCTGAGGTACCTCTACAGCTGACTACATCTGTCATATTGAACCTTGCTGCTTCAATGTCTATGGAATTAAGAACTCAAAACACTCCCCTTAGAGACAAGCTGGGTCATAGGATCTTGCAGCAAAATTCATTAGGACTCTGAGATTCCAGTTAACAAGCTCTTCTTGAGGGCTCTAGATTCTGGGGAGGAGTTAGCCTGCTAGTGGAGTGGTTCATACATATTCTTCAGCAAGGGAAGCTCTTGAGTGGCTCAGTATGGATTATGAGTTCCTTCACTGGCCCTACAGTTACCATGACAGCCCCTCAAAGACTAGCCAAGCTCTAGAAACCCAAGTGTCATTGGGCCTGGCATGGGCCTTTAAAACCTCAAAGCCAAACCCTTGTGAAATACTTCTTCCAAAAAAGCCACATGTCCTAATCATTCTAATCCTTTCAGAGTTCCACTCCTGGTGACTAAACATTCTAATATGTAAGCCTATGGGGATCATTCTTATTCAAACCACCACAATGTTCTTACAGTCTAAACCATGATCTCAACCTATAACTAGCCTACTAAAGAACACAACAAAACCGAATTTATCTATTACTTGATACCATCTGAAGTACTCACTCACTATTCATATCCTTGTGAAGATAAACTGAGCTCTATTAGCACTGAATAGAGTGGAACTGGAATCAAAACCCAGAGGCCTCTTGAAAGGGCTTGAACACCTTCCCTTGTCACAGACCATGCCTACATGACTGCTGCCAAAACCTCAGATTTCTGGTAAGTCTTAATATGGCATAGACTGAGAATGAGCATCAGACATCCACTTGGGGAGCTATTATGGTATGGGACCAGTGATTCTGAGGTTGGGCTTGCCAGATACAAGGGTATCACCAGAAAGGAGGACCAGAAATATATAAGAGTTGCCCTTCCCACATGAGGAAGGGCCTAGGCCTGACCCAGGATGATGTGGTAGACTTTGGGGAGCCCCTTTTGAGGGCCTTACCCTGCCTGGGGAGTGGGAGGGATGACTAGAGGCAGGTGGGATGTTGTGGGGGGGGGGGGGGGAGGGAGGAGGGGTTGACATCTGAAGCAAGCTTGTTCCTAATTTGAACTAATAAAATAAAATAAAAATTTAAAAAAAGAGTTGTCCTTCCCTCCATGTTGATACTATGGTTACTGTTCATATTGCCAAAGTAAGGCCCAGTCATGCTTTGGAGTAAAAAGAAATGAGCTGGTTTCAGTGAGAGGCTTTGCTTTACAGTCTGGAACAGTTGGCGAAGGAAATGTAACCAAATGCAACTGAGTTCGCAACTTGGTGAATACAAAGCCAAATTGGACATAGCTATGATATCAGAGTAGAACCAAATTGTCTGCAGCAAGTGAGTACAGCATGTAAATAATTTCCAAAAATATTTTCCCCTAAACAAAGGAAGCATAGGGATTTTATTATGGGTGGCTATATGTACTAGGCCAAATGTATTGTAGATACATTTATGGCGGCATAGTTAGCTCAAAATTTCAGAACACATAAATGATCAAAGTGGTAAACAGAAATTCCTCTGGGTATGTTAAGTCTGCACCATAAAATTTTAGCTGAAAATAAGATATCTTTAGCTGAAAATAAGATAAATAGACTCATTTATATGAGTCTATTCCCAAGAATGCCTACCTGTCTTAGTCACTTATAATTCATCCCTGAAACATTTCACTGACTCTTATGTCTTCAGGAATGAAGGACATATACTTTCTGAAGGACTGGGTACTTTATCTTTCTAGTTAGGGAATGAAACTCTTGAGGTAAAGGGAAAGATAGCCCTTAGAATCATGTGAGGGCAGTCTAACACTGTAGCTTAGGAGATACATACATGTGTGGTTGTTTTCTAAAAACATCAAAACCTATTTAAATATGAGATAAATCATGAATGAAATAAGTAAAGTTGATATTTGCAATTTATGTAGCCTAAAAGATATAGGCAATGTCCCTATGAAGCAGGGTCAAAACAGTTAAGTAAACAGACCAGCTGGAAAAATAAAGAAAAGATGAACAATATGATATTTTATATAATTTCATTTAATATGATTTTCAGGTTTTGGTTATAACAAAAGAACTTTCAAAATAAGAAGCTTTAAGCTATATAAACAAGCTAATTAGGCAGCAAGGCAAAAAAAATCTCATTACTGTTTTGGCTTTATAATTGTTGGACTTTTTGTTGGTTCATAGGGCAAGCATTCTAATAGCTATTAGATAAAGGGCCTGCCTCTTTAAGATACTGATCATGCTAAAAAGATCATATCCCAAACCTGGATAAATAAAGTCACTCTCCCTTTTAGTTGTCTCCTACTGGGCCAGAGTTAAGAAGCCATGCTGTTATGGCCTCATGGCTTCTTCACCTCAAAGCTGTAAGAGATATAAGAAGGGAATGGGGGTGAAAATAATCAAAGTGCATGCTATGAAATTCTAAACAATAAAAATGACAAAACCATCCTAAAATCTCACAAATTTACTTGTCCATTGTAGGTGACATGACCTAGTATAGAGACATCTGATATCAAGGATATGGAAATCAATGAGGGAGAAGGTGTGGGATGCCATATATTGGCAATAAAGTTAATCTAAGAGATAGGAATCAGATCTCTTCCCCAATCACCCTAGAGTGGAAGTCTTCTTTTTTATTTTTTAAATCATTTTTTATTTGAATTACAAACAAGATTGGATTACATGACAATCCTAGTTCCCTTCTCCCTCCCTTCCTCCCCTACCACCCCCCAACTAAAACCCTACCTATCACATATCCTTTCTTCTAATCTACACCTGATTCAACCTTTCTGCTCCCTCATGACCTCTGCATCCTTCCTCTTCTTCCCTTCTCATTCTCGTAGCTCCCTCCCCCTCTTCCCATGCTCTCAATTTGCTCAGGGGATCGTGACCCTTTCCCCTCTCCAGGGGACAAAGTTTGTCTCTTTTAGGGTCTTCCTTGTTTACCAGTTTCTCTGGCATTGTGGATTGTAGTCTGGTAATCCCTTACTCTATGTCTAAAATCCACATATGAGTGAGTACATATCATGTTTGTCTTTTTGTAATTGGTTTACCTCGCTCAGAATGGTTTCTTCGAGTTCTATGAGAAGTCTTCTTAGGAACATATCCAACCCATTCTTCAAAAACAGCCTCAGAGAATCAAGTCATATTTCAGAAGCCCAAAGAGGAAGCAAGCGAGAGTAAAACTGACTTTTCCCTTTTCCTGAGCTCAAGCCCTATGCTACCAGATAGCCATGCTACATGGAGAAAGCATAACATTCAATGAGGGCAACAGTATTGTCAGTGAAGTATGGGATACCGAGGAGGGGAATTTTTTTTCTCAAAGAAATTCAGGAAAATCATTTTTCTGCTTGTAAAATTGAGATGAACATCCTCACAAAGAGCTTACAACCAAAGGGAGCAATTGAAGGTATCTGACCAAAGTGACACCTACAGGTAAGAGATTGGTGAGGCTCTGGCTACTGTGGGGTATGGGTGGGCACTGCCTCTGACACAGTAGCTTCTTCTGTAAAGCCACACATTTCTGGAACTGTATGGGCCTGTCTCCCATTCATTTCTTTTGGTCAATGAAAGTATCACCTGCACCAAGCTCTCCTGTTTTGCAGGCCAGAGGGTATGCCTTCTTGGCAGATGGAGGGAAGTCCTTGTTCTGGCACTTGTCTAAGACATATGAATGCATCCAGGGCTCATGTTGCTGTTCCACACTAAGGCCAGTTGTGGAGAAGAGAATCTGCTGCACCTGAGCAGCATTCATAAGTCCACTAGAAGGGCTATGGTCATGCACAAGTAAGGTTTATAAGTGAATTCATCTGAGGCAGGGAGTTTGTCATTTGGGGTCCCAAGAACTTGATTGGGCAGTCTACTTTCTGATGTTAATTTCTCTTCCCTCCATTCCCAACTATTACAGTCAGATACATGACTTTCATGGGGACCTGATGTTTCCTTCAGGGCCCTTCCAGCTACCAGAGTACTTTGTACTTTTGTTGTATTTCCATTTGCCCATTGGGTACTCTTGCACTGGGTGGTGTTCAAGATCTTGGTATGTTGTGGTTGAAGACCACTGAGCTGCCCTCCTTTGACCATGTTACTGACCTTGTTGGATAAAAATATGCTTTTGACATTCACCTTTGTTCCTTGAGGCCCCTGGACTGTTTTGCTGGAATACAGTCTCTTACCCAATGGCACAAGGCTAGCCTCGTTGGCTATTCTGGGCACATCTGGGCTGTGTTTATTGCTCTCTGACTCTTTTAGGCTTCTGTTGTCTAAGATAATGGATGTCTGTTGCAGCACAGACTTGGTCATTATATACTTGCTCTCGACATGTCCATCCTTCTTATCAGAAGATGACTGTCTCTGAGCCTCATGCTCTTCCTTACCCACTTGTGAAGTAAAAGGGAGAGGATGATACCCTGATCTAGACACAGTGCCAATATCTGTCCCTCATTTGTTTCATTGAGCTGCCTGGCCAAATGCTTTTGCAGGGCAGTTTCAAGATTTTCCCGATGTTGGCTCACCTGTGAGGTCCCTGACGGTTTGCCTGACAGACTGCCTGGGTGGTGGTGTAGGATTGCCTCACAGTTAGATTGCAGGCCATTATCTAGAGTGCCCTTGGTGTTACTCCAAAGCTGGTGTTTTTTAATAGTCTCTGTGCTATGCGCCCTGGCCTTGAACAGTTTTTCTGCTGACTGTCTTGCTGGGAAGCTTCCAGGTTTGTTCAATACACTGTTGTGTAGGTCTTTGCTTCCCTGTTGCTTAAAGAAAGATAGCCAAGAAAGCTCATAGTTGATTGTAGATGAGGATGTTTCTGGAAGTTCTGCCAGAGGATTCACCCATGGTAGAGACTTATAGATCCTCTTTGACAGGCCCCAGTGTTGTAGGATGAGCCTCTTTCGAAGGTGGTTCTCAAGCTTCTTCCGGAGGTCACTGGTGAGGAGGAAATTTCCAAGAGAGATGGACTTGAGAACATGGGTCTTGAAAGACTGCTTGACTAATGAGGGCTTGGGAGGTGGAGGAAAAAATTCTTCCTGCGATTTTTTGACCACAGTGGGTAAACCCCACACTCTCTCAAGCTCCTTTTTCAAGATGTTGTAATTCAGGCAGTGGATTTCAGATGACTCAAGTGGCTGTACCTTATCCTGGGTCTGTGAAAATACACCCTCACAGATTCTAATCTGGGATTGAGAAAAAGGTGATAGAACTGGAATTGGGTGTTGAAGCTGGGGCTTGGCTGGAGGGACAGGTTGGGACTGAGATAAGGACAGAATTTGGGGCAAGTTCTGTGGTTGACTCTCAGGCAAGGACAAAGGTATGTGATTAGTAAGAACTGGGGAATCTGAGAATCTGTTGAAGCATCCAGAGATCAGGGAACTGTCAACCCACACAGTAGCAATAGAATTCATGGACTCGCTGTGTAAAGAAGGGAGGCCCCAGAAGAACTGGATGTGATTAGGCTCTAACTGGTCTTCAGAGGTCCTGAGATGATGAGACTGTTGGTGTATATGAAGTCTCTCTGGTTTACCTTTGCAGCTGCCCAAAGAATGGGAAACTGTCAAGTTGTGCTGATCAGACTCTGGGGTCTTCCCCCAAGTTTTAAATGAATCAGCCATCTTTCCAACTTGTTTCTCAAGTAGTACCATGGCATCAAGGCTGGGAAAGGGAAGGTTTCCAGGTAATGTAAGACAGGTTGTGATGTTTCTCTGTAAGTAGGAACCAGAAGAATGGAGGTCAAGAAGCTCTTGGCTAGCCAAATGTGCTGGCTCCAACCGAAATGAGTCGCAAGTATCTGTCTGCTGCTGAATAAATTTTGACATTGCATGCCTTGAACTGCAAATGCTTTTGTTTGATGGGATGGTGAACAGCTCCCTAGGGCTGCCCACCAGAGACAGAGCAGTTACTGGTTGGAGAAGCAGCAGTTCTGTTTCTTGAGGGGCATGTTGTTGTGGAAGATGGAAAGTGGTGCATAGATGGAGAGAATCAGGGTCCAGAGAGAATTTAGAATTCACAGGAGGAATAGATTTTGATAGCACAGAGTCATCCAGAAGTGAGGCAGAAAGTGTGTCTTCTAAGTGGGTACCCTGGTGAGGTGAGATAATAGAGGAAGACTGTAGAGAAGGCTCATGTGGAAGGTCTGGAGTTGGATTTCCCAGAGGATTTTCTGAGAGGGAAAAAGACAGAGTCACAGAAACTGTGATGTAATCCATACTGGACACAGAGGCAGAACCATCTTCAAGGGTGGCCTGTGAAAGCAGGTGACTGATATTAGCAGTTGCTCCATTACACACATCACAGGAGAGATGGGAATAAACTTAATACTGAATTGTGAACTTAGAGTTGAATGGTAAATTTAAATTTCTTTGTATTCCACCACAATCTAAAAATATTCATTGACAATATTTGGGGGAGTGATGACCCATGAAAATTCAATCTCCTCTCTCTCCATCTCTCTCTCTCTCTTTCTCTCTCTTTCTCTGTCTCTCTCTCTCTCTCTGTCTCTGTGCGTGTGTGCGTGTGTGCATGTGTGCGTGTGTGCATGTGTGTGTGTGTGTGTGTGTGTGTGTGTGTG